CCACTTCACAGCTCCGGAATTTGCTATCTTATCACGTATAGATTACGGTAGTTTTAACTAGGATCTGTTATTATGATTCCAAGGATTTCAAGTCTTTATCCTGCAAATGTCTTTGTTCCTGCATTGATCAAAGTACATAATAATAATCATTATTATTTGTCCCTTGGGTTCCTAATGGAACATAGGGCTTCAGTAGCACGTCTCTACTCCACTCTATTCTCTGCAATCTTTTGAACCTGGCTCCACGACAGCCCACAAGCTCTCATTTCCTCCTCGCACGATCTCCTCCATGTCACTCTCGGATGGCCAACTCGTCGTTTCCCATCTGGGTTCCACTCGAGGGCCTGACGTGTGATGTCCCCAGTCGACTTTCTCAGTGTATGCCCAATACATCTCCACTTCCTTCCAGTGCATATTTGTTGGGTGATAGGTTCTTGGTTGGTTCGTTGACAACCAGAGTTCCTTGTTGCTTATTCTTTCTGGCCATCTGATCTTCAGTATTGAGCTAGCGTAGGCAGTTGTTGATGAATGTCTGTAGTTTATTGGAAATGCCTTTCGTAACGCGCCAAGTCTCTGAACCATACAGGAGCACTGACTTGACGTTGGTGTTTAAAATCCGGATGTTGTTCCACATGCTGAGTACAGAAGATCTCCACACTGGTTTCAGGCTAATGAACGCCTGCCTTGCTTTTCCGATTCTGACTTTGACATCGTCTGTGCCACCTGTAGTTGAAACAGTGCTGCCTAGATAGGTAAAGGAGGCTACTTCCTTTAGGTTTCTCCCGTTGATGGTGATTGGAGTTTGTTGTTGTTGGAGTTGTTGGTACGGTATCTTCATCACCTCTATCTTCTCTATATTCACTTGAAGTCCCGAATTCGCTGCCTCTTCTGTCAACTTGTTAGTTTTCGCCTGTAGATCTTCAAGTTTGTGTGACATCAGATACAAGTCATCGGTTAGATCCAAGTCTTCTAGGTTCTTTTCCGCAGTCCAGCCAGTGTATCCCCCTCTTCTCGCTCCCCACTGTCTGCTGCATGATCCAGTCGACCACAATCAGGAATATCATGGGAGATAGTAGGCAACCTTGTCTCACTCCTGTCTTCACTTCAAAAGCATCACTGAGCTGAGCTTCCCATTGTGAATTACTTGACATATGGCGTCTTCATATAGTTGTTGAATGAGGCTGATAAAAGTTTGCGGTATTCCGTAGTATTGAAGCAGTTTCCGAATTACCTCTCGGTCGACGATTTCAAAGGCCTCAAAGTAGATAAAGTTGAGGTGTAGAGTTGACTGCCATTCTATACTCTGTTCCATGATGATGCCAAGCGTTGCAATTTGGTCCGCACATGATTTGTAATTCCTGAAGCCTGCCTGTTCTGGTCGTAGTTTTGAATCCAGTGCATCCTTTAGCTTCTCCAGGATGATGCGCTAAATATTTTGCTTGGGGTGGACAGGAGAGTGATTCCGCGCTGGTTCTTGCAAGCACTGAGGTCTCCCTTCTTCGGGGTTTTGACAAGGTAGCCCTTCTTCCAATCAATGGGCAGGTACCTTCCCTTCCTTCCAGACCTTCTGGAGTAGTGGTGTCAACATGTCCGCTTTTGTCTCTGCGTCTGTTTTCAGTGCTTCTGGCGGGATTCCATCTGGTCCTGTTGCTTTCCCGCATTTCGGTAGCTTTATGGCGTTCAGGACTTCCACTTTGTTGGAGGATTTGTGTTCACTGGTAGTTCTGTGGCTGGGCTGCAGGTGGTGGTCGATTCAAGAGTTTTTTGAAGTGGTCAGCCCATTGTTTCCTTTGTTTCTCTCCTTTGATAATTGAATTTCCGTCATCATCTTTTATTGGTTTCGTCTGCGTTGATCTCTTCTCAGATAATAACCTGGTTATTTGATACAATGTTGTCAGATCTCTCCTACCTGCAGCCTGTTCTGCTTCACTTGCCAGTACTTCATATGAGTGTCTTTCGTCTTTGCGTGCACTCTTCTTCACTTCTTTGTCCACTGTAGTGTTTTATACATTGTACTCAGTCCCGCTTCTCGTTGTGCATCCTTGCACTGGTTTATCTTCTGCTTCACCATCCTCCTCTCCCTGCTCTATCAGCTTCTATGTGTCCATCGAGATCCATTCCTTATCTTTTTTCTTCTTCCTTCCTAATACGGTTGTGCAGGTTTCTTTCCACATCTCTTTCGAAGACTCCCAGTGTTCTTCCATACAGGTTTCTTCAGGGATGTTCCTCGATATCTCCCATTTTGTCTTGATGGCTGCCGTGAAGATTTTCTTTGTAGTTCCATCCTTCAGTTTCCGAGTGTGGTACCTGAATTGAGGTCTATCACCAGCTTCCTTGAAGGCTTTTAACTTGATTTGGAAGGTTCCTTGCACCAGATAGTGAGTGGTTTGAACCTACATCTGCTCCTCTTTTTGACCTTGTGTCCAGTAGGCTGCATCTCCACTTTCTTGAGATTGAGATAAAGTCGATCTGATTTTTTGTGTAGTGTGTCCTGGTGTCTGGTGAAATCCATGTAGCTTTGTGGATATCCTTGTGCTTGTACACAGTGCTTCCAATGACCAAATCGTTGGATGCACAGAATTCTGCAAACAGTTCTCCATTTTCGTTCATTTCACCAAGCGCTTCTCTGCCCATGGTTAGTTCTCTTCTTGTGTTGTCCCCTCCCAGTTTGGCATTCATGTTGCCCACTAGAATTTTGATATCGCCAACTGAGGTCTTGTCCAGTGTTGATTGTAGTTGTCTGTAGAATTCCTCCTTTTTCTCTTGCTCTGCATTATTTGTAGGTGCATAGCATTGTATGATTGTGACCTTTCTTCCTTTTGAGTTGAATCTTGCTGTCATGATCCGGATCCTGGAGGAGATTGGTTCCCACTGCGAAGGAAGACGGGACCTCGAGTGAACGTAGAGAAGACGGAGGTGATGATGATACCCAACCAATCTCCATCCACGGGAGAAACCTAAGGGAAGTTGTCTTTTTCACCTAAATATGCAGCATCGTTTCAACCACAGGCGGCACAGACACAGAGGAGGATTTCAAAACCAGGATCGGAAAAGCAAGACAGGCATTCAATAATCTGAAATCGGTGAGAAGATCGACTTCACTCGGCATAAAGCGTGAACAAGATCCGCATTTTCAACACCAGTGCCAGTCAAGTAAGTGCTTCTAAGTGTCTCAGAAACTCGGAGCGTCATGAAAAGCATTTCCATTAAACTACAGACATTCATCAACAGCTACCTCCTACGCCCGCTTGATACTGAAGATTAGATGGCCAGAAAGAACGGACAACAAGGAATGCTGGCCTGGCAATAAGCTAATCAAGAACCTATCGCCCAACAAATATGTAGAAGAAGGTGGAGATAGACTGGATTGAGCCTACACTGAGAAGACCTATTAGGGACATCATGTGGCAGGACCTCAAGTGGGAATCAAGTGAGAAACGACGAGTTGGGAGGCCGAGGATGACATGGAGATCATATGAGGAACAAATGAAAGCTTATGGGCGGTGGTAGAGCCAAGTTAAGAGGACTGCAGAGAACAGAGCTGAATGAAGGCATGCTACTGAAGCCCCATGTTCCAGTAGGAATCCCAGGAAGCCCCCTCATTTCTGCTTTCTGCAGCCTCCTCGAGAAAACGGCTCAGGTCTGCCGTTGGTCGTCAGTCACCTGTTGCGAAACTGCCCCAATTGCTGAGTCAGTGAATCGATGGGAATACTCAAAGGGGCATCGAGAACGTGACGCCCAAACACGGGTGTGTCTGAGGTGCCTCAACCTCAGAGAAAGCAGTCTAGCCACGTTGCCCGAAAGCATGCTCCTGGTAGTGTCTCGAAGTGGATCCGTGAGTGTTCTTATAACAGAGGCACAATTGGACATAAACTTTCGGTGACAACTAGTAAGGTCATTCAAAGTGTGAAACTGATTTACGGTGGTCGGCATTGGCTGGTTCATGATTGCCACCACTTGATGTGTCAATGGGCGTACACCTTTGCTGTAAATAGAGCACGCAAGGAAGCTGACCGATTCAGCTTGTGCTTCACATTTCTGTATGTTGACTGTGGTGCAATACTTTCTCACTACGTCGCATGCGAGGTCGAGATGTTCAAGGTGATCTTCCCTACTTGGACTTCCAATAAAAGTCATCGATGTAGACAGTGACGCAATCCAAACCACGGAAGTTGTCATTCATAAAGCGCTGGAATGTTTGTGCTGCATTCCGAAGATCACAAGGCAGGCGTAGGAATTTAAACGGTCAGAATAGAGTAGTAGTAGCCGTTTTTGTGATATCTTCGTCTGTCTTAGGTATCTGATTGTACGCTTAGACGGGGTGGATTTTGAAGAGTATGTTCATTCTCCGTAGAGTCGTAATCAAGTCGTAGATATGAGGTACCAGCTAGCGGTCCGATGTTGCTTTGGCGTTAAGCCGTTGGTAAGCACCGGTCGGAAGCCGATCGTTGCCATCCTTTTTGGGAACCATGTGCTATGGTGATACTCAGGGACTGTTCAGCGGTTTGATAATGCCTACCTCAGGCATGTGATCGAACTCGCTGTTGGTGTGTTGAGCGTTCCAAAGCTTAATAACACCATTATGTGCAGAAATTCATAAAAATATTTTCCTGATAAAATGTTTTTTTCTACACTGTGCAAATTTTTAGTGGAAATAATCAACATTCACAACTAAGACTTCCCGTAATCTATCTAAATCTCTAAAAGTAACCCGAAACTGAACATAATTCAACATGTATGTACAGGGTTGGCAACGTTTCAGACATACTCAAGGAACAGTTTTAACCACAGCATCAGCATCCTGACTGGTCGTCCTCAAGTTTTCTAGTCACTAAAGGTTTTTCAATAGCTGAATCCCGAAGGCGACTCCCCCATCTTAAAATATATTTGTGCATATATGGAGAATAATGTCCATTAGATTTTCTCGTTGACTGGAATCAGAAAGTCTCAAGGCAATTAACATTTCGACACTGCAACTTTCAATGATTTTTGTTTTACTTCTTGGATTGGAGTAATTTGCTTGGGGCGGTTACTGAAGTGTGTCCGGGCGTGACTTTGTGAGTTTCTTGGTGTGGTTAGTTTATTCTTTAATATGTCCTACAGCTATAGCAAAAATGGGTGCTTACAAATTCATGCAAGAGCTATATCGTCGTAAGCAGTCGGATGTCATGCGTTACATACAGCGCATGAGATGCTGGGAGTATCGTCAAACTCATGCAATCGTCCGACTAACTCGACCATCACGGCCTGATAGAGCCAGAAGACTTGGTTACAAGGCTAAACAAGGTTTTGTGATCTATCGCATACGCATACGTCGTGGTGGGAGGAAGCGTCAAGTCCCGAAAGGACAACCCTGCGGTAAACCAACTAATGAGGGTGTAAATCAACTGAAAAATCAGCGCTCAATCCAAGCTGTTGCCGAGGTAATTTCGATTGTCACTTTAAACCGTTTCTTAGGAACGTGTAGGTCGTAAGTGTGGGTCACTCAGAGTTCTGAATTCCTACTGGGTTGGCGAAGATAGCACATTTAAATTCTACGAAGTCATTTGTGTAGATCCGTTCCACAAGGCCATCAGACGAGATCCTGAAGTTCGATGGATTTGTAAGGCCCATCAAAAACACAGAGAAATGCGTGGATTGACATCAGCCGGTTACAAGTCCAGAGGACTTGGTAAAGGACATAAGTTCCACAAAACAATTGGTGGTTCTAGACGTGCCAACTGGAAACGTATCAACACTGTTGAAATGCGACGAAAGCGTTGATCACTTTAGTTCAATACATATTTGCGGCACCGATCTCCTTGTTCTTGATCCGAGGTGTGGGCTCACTGGCTTACAACTGAGCATAACTGACAGCTTGTCAAGTTCTTCATGTGTCGTGCATGTCGCTACATATAACTATAGATTATAAAAAAGGTGGTTCGGGGCCACTAGCTAAATGCCATCGAATTAATCCAATGACAGTTGCTCGGTGCATCGGATAGACTTCATGACTCTTCATTGAGTGTATATACCGGGTCCTCAGCTGTATACATCTAGGGGCACAAGAAGGAAGCTCACACCAACTTACTGGCTCGCTCTTGGGCTCATAACAGCAACACCGTTAGAGTTGTGCTAATATAGTACAAGCCACTTGAATTTATTTAGTTGCGTCCACAGTGACGTACTAAAAACCTCACTCGGTCTGGCTCTATAGTCAAAGGTGTTTCAACGTATAACGATAAGAAAACTGATGGAATAGATGACTACGAGCTATTGGATGAATGAGAAATGCATTGGGCAAACTCATGTGTGAACACAGTGCGACTCAAAGAATGACGCGTTTGTTTCAGTGTCACCATTCTCGATCACACTTGATATGATATCATGTTTTAGAAACTGCCAAAGCCGCTGGTGTCGCACGGAAGTCTAGTGTCAGCCACCAACGTCCAGCGAATTTTTAGTTGATTCCCAACCAAACTAACTAATGGAGAAGATACGATGGACGTGTATCGGGGTCGAAAGATCGGAGTCCCAAAACAAAAAAAATATACCTAATTAGTAGATAATCCGCTATTTAAGATAATGGTTTTGGTTGACTGATCCACCGTCTCTGTCTAACTGTAGATGTGACCACATAAGGTTCGAAGAAGAGTTTAATAGCCACAGTTGGGTTGGGGAGTCCACCACAACAAGAGAGACCCGTTGCTTGCCAATCGTATCAGATGAAATAGCAAATGGAGCAATCACAGGTTAAGTAGTGAAAAGCGAAACAATCAAGTATTACTAGGATCCATGTTAAGGTTTTCATAGGGAGTAACTGTACGTCTCAATAAGTTTGATGAGTCTCAGGAAGCTTGGTGGGTGGCAATAGGACTGGACTAAATGTATTTCAGCATAGCAACCATTGCTTGTCTATTTTACTCATGTGGTTAGCTAAGTCAGGCTTCGGTTAGCATCATCTCTGACTGATATCAGTCGTTTATTATCCCACTCTTCGAGAAAGGAATTAAAATGTGATAGATTAGCATATTTGTAACCCGTGTGACTAACTGACGCGTAATTGGGATTCATGAATAGCAAACCGAAAAAAATGAGATGGGTTCCAGACCTGATCCTGAATAGACATCGATGACATATCTACCTTAGGTCTGTCGCTGTAGAAACAGGCGTGCATACTGCAATATGGTGCTTATCTTATTTTGGAAGTTGGGGATTGCATTTGACTCAGTCTGTGAAGAGTTCTGTTGGCGATGTCTCAATGAAAAGGATATTTGACAACTACACTTTACTGAAGCTTCTATAACCCAACACCTGTACTCTAAGCAGAGCTTACTGTGAAGTATTTACGTTGAGTGGTGTCTGTTACTGGTATCCATTCATCGCATCTTAATTTAACTTTTTTCATTGGTTTTATAATGAACATCTCTCTCTTTGACTATACAGACATTTCTCTCGTAATTGGTCAATCGATTTCGAATACACAGACAACGTAGTTCTCTAAGGTTAAGAAGCTGATATTACATAGAGTCATCTAGTCAGTGGATGACAATTTGAGAAGTGCAGATTTCTTTTTTATGACTGGGCTTCAGTAATAACCTGGCCGATAATAGGTGTGGTAGTCGGGTGTACTGGCCACTTGATCTACATAATTAGCTTAATCAGCTCTCGTGATTGGTTTTTGAACCGATCAAAGAGGTGCATATTTATTTACGCATCATTCTAATCCCAACTATCGTACCCCGTTTCGTTGTTCGCTTTCTTTCCGTCTAGTGGCTTTCCATAGATTCTAATTTCGCATTGCCTTTCTCTTGTCCTTGATCTTGGTGCCTAATGTCTGAATGCACTGATCCAGTCTTAACTAACTTAACTGTTCTACAGTAATGTCGGGTTCGGTATTGCTATAGACTAACCGATGAGTGGACTATGATCATGGCTGCTCTGGTCGACTTGCAATGTAGCTGAAATAAATTTACAGGTGTGTACTATTGGATCATCAGAATTGTGTATCCATGTTAACCTGAATGATAGATTTATCTGTATCGTCACGAATGACATTCTCAATCATAATGTCACAACAGGATAAGGAATTTTATACAGTTCAGTGACAAGGCAAGAAGTGCATAAACATAATAAGAGCAGCAGAATGATGTACGTGTGTCTTTCAGCATTTTTGTAGTAAATATCTATTCCATGCTTGCTATTGACAGTCCAACAGATTCCTGAATGTACATGACTTTCGACTACTAGCAAACGTTCATTATGAGTAACAAATTCTGTCACTTAACCACGTTCAACAGAATGATGGGATTGAACCAATGTAGTGTTCAAAAGTAGTGAAGTATTGCTCAAAAGAACTATTTCTGGTTGGCGAATTGCAGTCCTTTGAACATAAGCTTTGTCAGAATGATGCGTGATTCCATCTAAGTACAAAACATAGCTTTAGGATTGGTTGTCATTTATAAATAGGTTTAACAAGTGAGTTTCCATACTTACCGTTTGCCATCATCAGCATCTGATGAAGACTAAATCCCAATACGGAATTTTTGTTTGGTGCTTGCTAACATCTCTTGTATCAGAAAGAAGATAATTAAGCGTCCTTGATTTTAGCATAATGTACAACTATAGACCTGCGTCTATAGAAAGTAATTATTAGCGTTGTTGGTTTGTGGGAAGCTGGAAGACAAACTTATCAACGTACAGGCTGGCACAGTGGTTCATCAATATAAGATATCATCTACTTACATGGCTTAGATCAACATTTAGAAGAGATGTATCATCAACTGCGACCATGTTCTTTGGAGGCTACTTTCAGTTTGTTATCAGTGTATTTCCACCATTCCTCATGTATCTTAGAATCATGAGGTAAGCGGGGTTGACGTTACTCTCATAATACTGAGTAATTAAAGTCAGCTCACAAGGTTGTGAAATATTGTCTGTGGTAACTAGAGCATGTTACGTGTACCTAGTTATTGACCACTTTATAACCTGTTATGCTACCTAGAGAGTCAAATTAGAGGAGTATCAGTAAATTTAAATAAGGACATAAAAGCATTTTATGGAATTACACTGCTGACAAATTTATACGTTAACTGATCAGTGTATGCAATGCAGACGGGGTGTATATTATAGACTGATATAATTTTAACAAACTATATAGATCCACTTGTCATACTGGGAATTATAAAAATGTGATATGCTCCTTATATTCTAGCATTGTTTGTACCTGCTATCTTTTAGTTTTTTACCAGTACCATTGTAGTTCTCTTCATTTCTCTTAGTTATACTAATTTGAATGAATAATCAGTCATGATAAGCCTTATAATGTTCCTTCCTTTAACTAGAAATAGTGAGTCCACAGATGTAATATATTTTCAGTTCTTGCTAGTGACTTATTGCTTGTTGTTATCACTTATTTTGAGTTTTCCGGTGATTTCCACTTTTTTTTAAACATTTACATTTTTTTTCCATAAACTCTTGAAATACACATTACGCAATGTCTGGTTTTTTGTTGGACATTGTTCACTGAAATCCTTATGCGAGTTCTCCCAACTTCGTGACTCAAATCTCGATTTCTCAGAGTTGTTCCTAATCGGCCGGACAGATTAAGAATTTACGGTAGCCTCAAGTGCAGTAATATCTTCTAGGTAGCTGCTGAAAGTCAATTCTTAGGTTAGTCGAGTTTTAGAACAAGTTTAGTGAACATGCCCAGTTGTTTTAGATAAGTTTTCATTTTCATCGCCTCAGTTTCTAAGAAATAACTGTCATTCATAACCACCTACGTAACAGTTGATTGTTGTGTAAAGCCTCTTAAAATCGGTTCACTGGAGAGTACTAGTCGATGTAGATGGTGTGATGCTCCTCAATCGAAATTTCAAGATTAGCAGTTGCTGATCACACCATTCTCTTTCAAACAGATGTTTTTGAATGTTCAGTTGGAGTAGAAACTTTCAGGTTATCTGTCTTTCTGAAATTTCATTTAGGCTAGAAGCATAGGACATCATACTGATTATGATTTGCGGAGGCTCTCACTATTAAACATATTCAACCTGACCTATATACTCAGAAAGACACTGTAATCAACCTTTCTTTACCTTGGTTAATGTACATAATTTTTCGCATGTGTATGTATATAGTCTTCCTTTTTTATTGCATCATCTCGTAAGTTGCTTACTGGCTGTTAATCACTCAACGATTTTCCAGTTTTTCATATAATTACGTAACTTCTTCTTTTATACTGGTATTTGTTTGTTTCCCTTCCCCTCCACTTCACAGCTCCGGAATTTGCTATCTTATCACGTATAGATTACGGTAGTTTTAACTAGGATCTGTTATTATGATTCCAAGGATTTCAAGTCTTTATCCTGCAAATGTCTTTGTTCCTGCATTGATCAAAGTACATAATAATAATCATTATTATTTGTCCCTTGGGTTCCTAATGGAACATAGGGCTTCAGTAGCACGTCTCTACTCCACTCTATTCTCTGCAATCTTTTGAACCTGGCTCCACGACAGCCCACAAGCTCTCATTTCCTCCTCGCACGATCTCCTCCATGTCACTCTCGGATGGCCAACTCGTCGTTTCCCATCTGGGTTCCACTCGAGGGCCTGACGTGTGATGTCCCCAGTCGACTTTCTCAGTGTATGCCCAATACATCTCCACTTCCTTCCAGTGCATATTTGTTGGGTGATAGGTTCTTGGTTGGTTCGTTGACAACCAGAGTTCCTTGTTGCTTATTCTTTCTGGCCATCTGATCTTCAGTATTGAGCTAGCGTAGGCAGTTGTTGATGAATGTCTGTAGTTTATTGGAAATGCC